CTCTCTCTCTCTTTTTTTGAGATAGAGTCTCGCTTTGTTGCCCAGGCTAGATAGAGTGAGTGCCGTGGCATCAGCCTAGCTCACAGCAACCTCAAACTCCTGGGCTCAAGCAATCCTACTGCCTCAGCCTCCCAAATAGCTGGGACTACAGGCATGCGCCACCATGCCCAGCTAATTTTTTCTATATATATTAGTTGGCCAATTAATTTCTTTCTATTTATAGTAAAGATAGGGTCTCGCTCTTGCTCAGGCTGGTTTCGAACTCCTGACCTTGAGCGATCCCCCTGCCTTGGCCTCCCAGAGTGCTAGGATTACAGGCATGAGCCACTGCGCCCAGCCTCTCTCTCTCTTTTTTTAAGACAGGATCTCGTTCTGTTGCCCTGGCTGGAGTGCAGTGATACCATCATAGCTTACTGCAGCCTTGAATTCCTGGGCTCAAGTAATCCCCTCTCACTTCAGCCTCCTAAGTAGATGGAACTGTGGCACATGCCACCATACCTCAATAACTTTGTAAAAATCTTTTTGTAAACAAAGTCTCACTATGTTGCTCAGGCTAGTCTCAAACTCCTGGCCTCAAACAATCCTCCTGCCTCAGCCTTCCAAAGTGCTGGGATTAGAGGTGTGAGCTATTGCCCCAGCCAGCAGTGATTTTACTATAAGCAATCTGTACTTAAAAAAAACTCATCAAAGAGATCACTTTTTGGTTGTAGCACAGTATGTGTTTTAATATTAATAAAAAGGTACTATATTTTTGTTTTTTAAAAATTTGTTAAGTCTTAGCTTTGTATAACTTGTCCTTGCTGTATCCACAAGTATCAGGACAAATTAGCCTAAGAGAAAATCTCCTATCTCTGCCCTAAATAATTCAATGATTGATCTCCTAAGAGGCACTTAAATGTATTCTTCCTACAAAGTGCCTGGGAATCACTGATTTGCTGGGAACCAATAAATGTAAGCCTTATGTTATCTCCACATCACTAGGGTCTATCTATATTCTCTAAAGTAAAAACAACTACTTTTCAACACTACCAGGAGGATAATAAGAAATACTGCATATAAAATGCATAGTATAGTTCCTCCTGGTAGAAAATATTCAGTGTTATCTATCATTTTTATTGTTTTGAAAAGATTTCATAATTCTCTTATTCTAGGACCCATGTGCAAATGAGAAATATGCTGCTTTGTAAACCAACCCTAGCGAAAATGATTTCTCTCAAACCTAAATACCAGCGTTACAAACTTTCTTAAGGAAAATGCTTACACATAAATACACACAAAAGGAGAAAAATAAATTGTACCTGGTAGAAAAAGAAGCGACAGAAACATCTACGATTCCTTTCACTGCAGACATGACTTTGTCCAAGTCTTGGGTGTGGTTAACATTGAATTCAACTCGGTGGGTTCCCTCTGTAGGGTAGCTGGGTGCTTTGGAAGGATGTATGGGCCTAGAGGTGCAAGCTCCTAGAGAAAAAATTGTGGGGAAATGGGAATTTCTGTGGGTTTTTTTTTTTTTTAAGATTAAAAAGATAAAGTATTATAGGCAAAATTTATAAGAAATGACTTTTAAAAAAATTCATTCTAATATGCTTATATGAGTATACATACACATATTCCTCTTAGATATACAGCCCCTATAATCTAGGGGTTGGGCATAGACATACAAAATCAAACTAGAGAATTTTTTCCAGACAGAAGATTCTTAAATTTGAGAAAAATTTGGACAAGGAAGACTGACTCATGGATTTTTAGATGATACATAGAATTGTCGACTGCTTGGTAAATCTACCTATGTAAATCATGATTCAGGTTGCAAATGCTCATAATCTGTTTGACCATATTAATCCAGATAATATTATCATAAAAGCTTCTGCCCAAAATGAGTAAACTAAAAAGATTTACTAAAATAAAGCTAAAACACTATGCTGAATTCCCTCATTGTGCTGGGCATAAATAAACATTCAATAAAACTCAGGGGCCGGGCGCTGTGGCTCACGCCTGTAATCCTAGCTCTTGGGAGGCCGAGGCGGGAGGATTGCTCAAGGTCAGGAGTTCAAAACCAGCCTGAGCAAGAGCGAGACCCCGTCTCTACTATAAATAGAAAGAAATCAATTGGCCAACTGATATATATATATAAAAAATTAGCCGGGCATGGTGGCGCATGCCTGTAGTCCCAGCTACTCGGGAGGCTGAGGCAGAAGGATCACTCGAGCCCAGGAGTTTGAGGTTGCTGTGAGCGAGGCTGACGCCACGGCACTCACTCTAGCCTGAACAACAAAGCGAGACTCTGTCTCAAAAAAATAAAAAAATAAAAAAAAATAAAAAAATAAAACTCAGATATTTAACTGACATATCAAGTGTTTTCTGGAAAGCCCTGAACTTTCAATTCAAGCATTTTTTGAGTGCCTGGGTGCTAGGTACTGTGCCACATAGTGAGGAATCACAAAGCTCAATCCAGCAATGAAGACTTCTTATGCTCTCTTTATTCATTTAGGATAAAAATGTTTCATTTTTCAAATAAAATTTAATTGCCAAGTTTTAGCAACATTTAATGCTCTCCCTACTGCAAACTTTATAAGAAAGACATTCTAAAGTTTTATAGGATTTGTAGGAGAATATTAAATATGAAAGAAAAGGCTCCTCACCAAGTCCTTTGGCCAACCAGTTGTTGACTCCTTGGGGTGCAGCATCATAAGCTGTGTGAGGAGAGTAGATACCAATTCTGTTCTCCAGAGCTCGGATCACCAGGCGCTCTTTCCAAGTTTTCCAGGTTATGCACTTCATGGGTCGGAAAATAGGTGGATGGTAGGAGAGAATGAGATCCGCTTTCTTTTGCAGCGCTTCCTCCATCACTTCCTCAGTCAAATCATTGGTCAGGAAGAGTGTGTTTACAGTATGTGGTGGGCTTGGTTCCACCAGTAATCCAACATTGTCCCAACTCTCAGCAAATGAGAGGGATGCAAAGTCATTCAATGACGAAAGAAGAGCCTTCAAATCCATGAAGGAACGGGAAGAACTGCAGATCAGGGAATCTACAAGCCGAACTGTTGTGGGGACCAGGCGTACACAAGATGACAACATACAGAAGTCACGTAAAGCTCAGTGTCTGAAGGCAAAACACAGAAAGTGGTACATACGCACACTTTAGGCCTGGATCTTTGAGGCATCACAGCATATGGGCAAAAGAGCTGTCATCAGAGAGATCTGGGTCCAAATAGTGGCTCTGACACTTACCACCAGCACATTGTAGTTTAGGTAAGTCATTTAACCTCTTGAAGCTTGTTTTCTTACCTACAAAATGGAGATACTATAACCTACCTCACAGGCCATCCAGAGGAGCAAATGAATACGTCACCTAGCAAAGCCTGGCACATAATACACAAATGCTCATCTCCTCCACCCAGCCACCACACCTTTGTTCTTATTCTCCCCACCCTTGTTTCAACTACCTTCCTCCCTCATCCTTTTCTCTAAATATTACCATTCCTTTTTCCAAGACCTCCTTAAACTTCCTAAATACAGCTTTTCTTGACAAATCTTCCTTTTTGGCGTTTGCCCCTAACCCTTCTCCCCACCCATTATTCTCACATTACAGTTCTGTTGGACTGTCTCCCCCAGTCTGCTAAAGTTGCTGGAGGATAGGAACTATCTTTAATAAATCTCAGTGTCACCAGCATAGGCCAGCACTAAATGCTTACTGCAGACTGATAGTCCCCCTCTTGTGACTACAACAGAATTGAGTTGGGATGCATATACAGGCACTAAAAAAATGCTTTATCAAAAAATATAATATTTTAAATTTCAAGTGCTTTATCAGCAGCAAGAATCAAGACACACACAGGTCACTTTACAAATGGGCAAGGTCAAGGCAGAGGGCAGGAGGTGCTGCTCCTCAACCAATAACATCTGCTTCCAAAGGCCAGGCTCAAGAGGTGGGAGAGGCGTAGGGCACTTAGCCCCCACAGCCTGTAAGCCTTCTAATCATATGCATTCAACAGGAAACTAGAAAGCTTGGCAACAGAGGAAGGTGGGAGGACAATGAGGAGTTGGAAAAAAATTGTTGGCTCTAAAATATGAAAACTGTAACAGTATATGTTTAATCAAATAACTACAAGAGATAATATTCTCAACCTCATTCTTAAACTTAGTACCCATATTTTTGTTTTTGAAGAAAAGCATTTCATGGTATGCACAATATTTAACAAGACAGCATAACTAATTGTAAATTTAATGAAATACCCGTAACGCAATTATTTCAAAAGCAAATTATTTCCAACATTTCTACTGCAAAAATGTTTAATGAGATGAACACACTTATTTAACATGAAGTAATGTGGGGGTCTCCAAAAGCCACTCGACGTCTTAATGCTACTCCAGTCTCCATACTCTTCTAAATGTGGCAAGTGCCAAAGTTAACAACGACAACGGGAAGGAGCATAGCATGGTGGTTAAGAGCACTGACTCTGAAGCCAGACTGAATCCCAGAGCACTGCTTTGTAACCGGGGACAACTTAACATCTGCAGTTTCCTCCTCTCAAGAAAGGAAATAGAGCCTAGCTCATGGAGTCGCGAGATTTAAGCGTTTGTAAAGCTGGAAAAAGTGCCTGCCCTAGAGTAAGCCCTGTGTTTGCAATTGTTAAGTAACACTGACAACCTACAAACTGCTCCGAGTTACTTCATCTATTCCTCATTTCAGTGCCACTTCAGGCCTTTTCCAAGACAGTGAAGAGCCAGGTGACACAGCCAGTAACATTGAGTCAAGACCCCCGACTCACTAGTGCCCAAGGTTCTCATGCCGCAGGGCAGTTTTCCGTCCCAATCTCCTCTTCTGCCTTCTTCCTCCGCAGCACCACCATAACACTCACAGCCTGCCCTAACTAGGACCTACCTCGAGGGTCACAACTACCCACGCGGTTATTTAAATCACCCATTACTCACCAGTCGCGGAAACCTTCCTCTTGCGTCACTTCCGGTCCTGCGCGGAGCTCCTGGCGTTGTGGCAATGGGCCGGGGGAAGGAGCTGAGCGGAAGTGGTTTCAGACCCTTTTACAGCCCACTCTAAAGAACTGCTTGAGGTAGTTGTGGGTTATACTTCTTGTCCTAGTGTAATTATTAATAAAGCGGCCTTTCACCGTCAGATTTCAAGTGGGTGAGGATAAATTACAATATTCGCCTAGCTCTAGTCGTTTTGGTTTGAGATAGAAAGGAGAGGAAGAAGCAGGCGAGGAAGTAAGGGGCGTTCTTTCTAATGGGTCCCACGTTCAACTTCCGCTAGTCCAAAGAAATTATAATTTTGAACCAGTTGACCTGTACAGGCATCTGTGGTTGCCTTTTTCCTGTTTTAACAACGGCTGCGCTAACCGAAGTGGTTAAGTAAGTATAGAGGGACGTTATTCATTCTTTCACTTACTCAAAATGCTTGCTAAGCTCTCTGTTGGCACTGGTTTAGTTCTTGGGGTAGTTCGAGTGAACATTCTGGGCGGAGAGGCTGTTGGAACGTCAGAATACATAAGGAAAATTCATAGTATGTTAGTGATACGTGCTATGGGAAAAGGAAACAGGACAGGTCCTAGAGTTGGAGTAGTTTTGTTTTTGTTTTGAGACAGGATCTCGCTGTCTCCCAGGCTTGTGTGCGTTATATAGCTCACAGCAACCTCAAACTTCTGGTCTTAAGGGATCCTTCTGCCTCAGCCTCCACAGTAGGTGGCACTACAGGCACGCGCCACCACGCCTGTCTAATTTTTCTAATTTTTGTAGAGACGGGGGGGGGGGGGGGGTCGTGCTCTTTTTCAGAACTAACTCCTGATTTCAAGCAATCCTATCCCAAAGTGCTAGGATTACAGGTGTGAGCCACTCACCCTGCCTAAAGCAGTTTTCAGTAGGGTTGTTAGGGACTAAAGTTGACACATGAGCAGAGACTTGAAGGTGAGGAAATTAGCTGTACAGATAGATGTCTGAGTGTAAGCTTCCAGGAAAAGGGAAAAACCAGTGGCTAGACCCTAAGGTGGGAAGGTACCTGGAGGACTTGCAAGGAGGCTCTTAAGGAAAGAGTAAGAGAAGTGGGAAATTGGGGGGCTTGAGTCGGGTAAAGTTTCTCCTCATCACTAATATAGCTGGATTTTTATTAGGGGGATGCTCTTCTAGGATTTTTTCTTTTAAATATACAGTACAGGCCGGGCGCTGTGGCTCACGCCTGTAATCCTAGCTCTTGGGAGGCCGAGGCGGGCGGATTGCTCAAGGTCAGGAGTTCGAAACCAGCCTGAGCAAGAGCGAGACCCCGTCTCTACTATAAATAGAAAGAAATTAATTGGCCAACTGATATATATATAAAAAATTAGCCAGGCATGGTGGCGCATGCCTGTAGTCCCAGCTACCCGGGAGGCTGAGGCAGAAGGATCACTCGAGCCCAGGAGTTTGAGGTTGCTGTGAGCTAGGCTGACGCCACGGCACTCACTCTAGCCTGGGCAACAAAGCGAGACTCTGTCTCAAAAAAAATAAATAAATAAATAAATAAATAAATAAATAAATAAATAAATATACAGTACAGATGAGTGTAAGTTAAGATGATAGAAAAATGATTTTAATTTTTTTTCTCTTTGGGGAATAAAGACTTAGGTTTGAGCATCTCTCGGGAAGACTGTGAGATATTAGTCCTTCCTGAAACCATCAAGAAGAAAAATGGTAAGTTTTGTAGAATTCTTATGAAATGCCTTTCATAAGACATTGTAAGTAATCTTTAGAAATTCAGTTAAGGGAAATAAAAGTGCATGGAAATTTTAGTGGCAAGACAGAAATTATAGGCTGTAGAAGCGTACAATATAGAATGATCCGTTAAAAACCAGAAATAAGCAAAGTTGTTTTTAAATTCTTTAATGTTTTCACTTAAAATGCACAGAATGTACCTGTATGGAAAAAGATTGATTACAAATTAGAGACAGAAAGGGGAAGTTGGAAGAGCAGAAGAGTGTAATACTTTTAATTGGATTCTTTTGCTATGGATCTAAAGTGGGCAACTAGAATTTGAAGTGGAAGAAAAACAGTGAGAATAGTACCCTCCTCCTCCCACATACCCTCCTATCTGAATCTTCAACCTGGCCATACTGTCTAACTGCTACATACTATGGTAGGAAGAGAAATGAAAAAGGTAGCCTCCAAATAGTTTTCTCCCTCTCTAGAACAGGGTATCAAAGGAGTATACAAGTTACTAAAAAACAGGTACAAAAACAACAACGAAAACAAAAGTAAGAAAGAGCACTATAGTTACCTCTGTACATTTAGGATATAGAAACACCCTTTTTATGTTTGTTATCTTTAGTAAATAAATGAATTGTTTCTAACCCTATTTTTCAGAATTAAAATACTTAAAGAAAATGGTGGAAATTATGTTTTGAAAAATCATTGTACTATCATCAGTAAATAATGATGTTGGTAAATTGCCATCTAAATCACTAATGCTAACATACAATTTTTAAATTTTTATTGATGAAAAAATTCAAAGTTAAAATAATTATTTCCATCACAATATTTGCTTCCAAATTTTTAGCATAGATAGCACTTTATCTTAACATTTATATTTATTTTCTAAAGTTATTTTTCTGCCTTTGAAATAAATTTTGAGGAAGAAGTACAACTTCCTGCTATGTGGATGAATAATCTCTGAAGTGGTATTTATTTCTGTCTGTTTTTATTCAGATTGTCATTTTGAACATTCAGTCAGGGAAATAATACAGTGCATAAAGTCACCTGAAGATATCTCATTTGTTCTCACATTCTCTCTCCTTTTCAGTCTGTGACATTGCATACAGATGTAGGTGATATTAAAATAGAAGTCTTCTGTGAGAGAACACCCAAAACATGTGAGGTGAGTACCATTATTTACATAGTAAATATCTGCTAATACAACCGGATAACAATTTGGAAATCCAGTCATCTAACCTGAACAACAAAACTTTTTGTAAAACTATTGTAAGGAGAAACTAGCCAAGATATCTTTTGGCCTAATTTCCACTTATCTTTCCTGCTGTCAAACATGGATCAAAGAGAAGGTAGATAATTTTTCTGTAACCATAGAATGGCTGGTATCATTTCTTTTTGGCTCATTTGTCCTCAGGAAACATAATCATTAGGATATTAGAAAAAAGAACTGTTCTATACATTATTTTACCTGTTTAAATGACAAGGATAGAAGGAAGAAGAGTCAGCTGTATGTATGTATTCATTCATGTATACATATGTGAATTATGAAAGGCTGTCTTGCCAAGGTCTGGGGATACAGTGATTAGCAACAGACACTTCTTGCTTTCGTGGAATTAATATTCTTGCTGGGAAAATAGGCAGGGTGAGAAGATTAAGTAATTCTAAAAGGTGATAACACCTTGAAGGAAATAAGGGTTGAGAGAGAGAATAATGGGAAAGGAACTACTTAAAGGAAGAAGGTGAGGGCAGGCCTAGTCAAGGAAGTAGTACTTTGATTGTAGAAGGTATGATGTATCTCTATCAAAAAAGATATAAAAAGAACATTCTATGTATAGAAGTAGCAGAAACAAAAGCCTCAAGAGGGGGAAACCTGCCCCTTTTGGATAAATTTTTTTTATTGTCAGAATGCTGATGGGGTTAATGTAGTGAGTAACAGGGAAGGGGTTCTTATATGAAATGTAGAGATAAGCCAGTCCTGTAGGGCTTGTTAGACCCTGCTGAAGATTTTGTATTTTATTCCAAGAGCAGAAGGAAGCTGTTGAAGCGTTTTAGACAGGGAAGTGACATTATCCAAAATAATGCCTAAAAGTCATAGTTTAAATATGCTGCTATAGTTGTTTTCACTAAATATGATTGGTTCTGTGTCTTAAATGGGTTTCTGCTACATCATTTCTCAATCATTGTTTTTATTCTCTTCAGAATTTCTTGGCTCTTTGTGCCAGTAATTACTACAATGGCTGTATATTTCATAGAAATATCAAGGGTTTCATGGTTCAAACAGGAGATCCAACAGGTAAGTTATTCTATTAACTAAAATCTAGGTAATTAGATATATAGTATGAAGAAGAGGGTAAAAGAAAAATACAAAAAGAAAAGCATATGGAGTTTTTATAACTGGGCCACCTTACCATAGCAAGTATTTATTTATTTATTTATTTTTGAGACAGAGTCTTGCTCTGTCGCCTGGGCTAGAGTGCAGTGGTGTCATCATAGCTCTCTCAGCCTCCCTAGTAGCTGGGACTATAGGGGCATGCCACCACACCCAGCTAATTTTTCTGTTTTTCATAGAGAAGGGGTCTCGCTCTTGCTTAAGCTGGTTCGAATCAGGATCACTCCTGAGCTCAAGTGATCCTCCTGCCTCCGCCTGCCAGAATGCTAGGATTACAGATGTGAGCCATTGTGCCCAGCCCACAACAAGAAATTTTAAGCAGAAGCTATTAGCATCTACCCCTAAAATATTGATAACAAAGGTTGTTCTTTTTTCTTTTTTGTAGGTGTTTTATTCTTCTGTTCTCTAAAGTTAAAATTGGTAAAGTGTAAGAGGCCTTATCAAATTTTATGTATATTTAAAGAGTTATACTATAAAGTAGCCATTAAGTTTTAGGAAAGAACCTTTTTCAACTTTAGATACTTCTTTTGATTTGCTTGTCTTGTAATATAGGTACAGGAAGAGGAGGTAGCAGTATTTGGGGCAAGAAGTTTGAGGATGAATACAGTGAATATCTTAAGGTATATCCCCAGTGCTTCAAAAATCTGTTTTCTCATGCCTTGGTTACACTTGGAAACTTGATGCATGTGTTGTATAATAGTTAAACAAGTTAACATCATTACTAAATGAATATACTTTTTTGTAGTTTTGCACACTTGTTAAATGATGTCAGGGAGAAAATTATAAGTGGCAGTTCTTGTCTGACATTTGTATTGGAATCTCACCATCTCATGGATCTTGATATTAAGTGAGCTCATCTTTGAGCCCAATCTGAAATATTTATTAGTAGTAATATACCAAAGGGACTTAATATTTCACTGTAAAATTCATGTTGGAATGACATGAATCAGTGGCCTTTTTTGAGAGTGGGGAGGAAAGATTATCAAACTTGGCTGCAATATTGCCCATAGTCAATCCCCAACTTGTATCATTTTCCTTTTTTTTTCCATTTATTTTTTATTTGTATATATTCATGGGGTACAAGTGCAGTTTTGTTACATTGGTACATTGCATTGTAGTGAAGTCAGGGTGTAATTTTCTGTTAGATGTTTGAAATTCCTGTATTAACTTGACCTTAATACCTGTGGTAGATCTTTTTTTTTTTTTGAGACAGAGTCTCGATTTGTTGCCCAGGCTAGAGTGAGTGCCTTGGCGTCAGCCTAGCTCACTGCAACCTCAAACTCCTGGGCTCAAGCAATCCTACTGCTCCAGCCTCCTGAGTAGCTGGGACTACAGGCACCATGCCCAGCTAATTTTTTCTATATATATTAGTTGGCCAATTAATTTCTTTGTATTTATAGTAGAGACAGGGGTCTTGCTCTTGCTCAGGCTGGTTTCGAACTCCTGACCTCGAGCAATCCGCCCACCTCGGCCTCCCAGAGTGCTAGGATTACAGGCAAGAGCCACTGCGCCCATCCATATTTTTAAAAATCAGTTCCACTTCCTATAGATAACTTCAGTTAACTATTGTGTGGTCTTTCAAATTTTATATCTGCATACGATAACTTTATAATTAGAAGAAAGGTGATAAATTCTCAAGAATATGAAATTGAATATTATATTTCAGTTACCTTAAAATATACCCATAAACATTCTGAAAAAAATTCATTGTGGTATATCTCTCTGGACGATGATACTAGGAATAATTTATCTTGTTTTTGCTTTTATATCATAAGGAAATATATTAGCTTTGTTACAAGAGTTGGGGTTGATACATAATAAACTTTTTGAAAAGTCAACCTTTTCCTGAATTAGAAACTAAACAATTTCTAGGCATTAATTACTACGTTAATGACTGTTTCCATATACCAGTTGAAAACCAGCAATTGGCTATGAGAAAATCACCTGTGGAAAATTCAAAACTATAAAAGATCAGGGCCTTACCCTCCAAAAAATAGAGATGAACAGTCAGTAGGACTGGTTAGGACCTTGACTATATTTTAAGGTTCCTTGGTGATTTCTTCGCAGGCAGAGTCAAGAACCATTATCTTGTAAAATACACCAAGGTTGCAGAAGTATAATGAATGTTCACATAGTGACCCAGCAATTCCATTCCCAAATGTTTACCCAAAAGAAACTTGTATGTGTGCACAAGAGACATGTATAGGAGTGTTCCTAATGTATTATTTGTAATAGTAAAAATTTAGAAACAACCCAAATGTCCATTGATTATACAGTGGATAAATTTTAGCGTATTCAGGCTAGGTGTGGTGGCTCACACCTGTAATCCTAGCACTCTGGGAGGCCAAGGCGGGAGACAGGCAGATCGTTTGAGCTCAGGAGTTCGAGACCAGCCTGAGCAAAAGTGAGACTGTCTCTACGAAAAATACAAAGAAATTAGCTGGACAACTAAAAATATATAGAAAAAATTAGCCGGGTGTCATGGCGTGTGCCTGCAGTCCCAGCTACTCGGGAGGCTGAGGCAGAAGGATTGCTTGAGTCCAGGAGTTTGAGGTTGCTGTGAACTGAGCTGATGCACTCTAGCCTGGGCAACAGAGTAAGACTCTGTCTCGAAAAAAAAAAGAAATATCAATGACCTATAGCTACATATACATGTATGAATCTAAGAAACTGTAACAAGGTTAAGTGTAAAAAGCATTTCCTAGAAGACTAATGTTATATGATGTCATATTGTAGAGTTCAGAGGGAAAAGGAAATCATGTATTGTTTAGGCATCTATAAGTGTATCAGAATAGTGGTTACCTCTTGGAGAGGTTGAGGTAATACATAGTTGGAGAGGAGTGCATAGGCATTTGCAACAAATTGGTCAATTTTACGTCTGAAATCTGGGAAATATGTTAATGGTGCTTATTAACTTAAAAAATGGTACCTATATTCTTGTGTATGTATTAAATATTACATTTGATTGCTAGGTATCTTTTAGGGAGACAAAGCAATAATATTTTTATGTAGCTGCATCTCTATGGCATGTTAAATTAGTGTCACCTGATGAATAGCTAAAGCTAGAATAATCAGTGGAGTTACTTGAAATATGTTTTATATTTGGGTACCTCCCTGTAACATGTTCACAGTCATGTCTTTAGTCTTTTCAGTAAGGCCCTCTTAATTCCTGTATACATTTCCATGTATACAAATATTATGCGACTAGAGCTGGATGGGCTCTTTTTTTTTTTTTTTTTTGAGACAGAGTCTCACTGTGTTGCCCAGGCTAGAGTGTCGTGGCATCAGCCTAGCTCAACAGCAACCTCCAACTCCTGGGCTCAAGCAATCCTTCTGCCTCAGCCTCCCAAGTACTGTGACTACAGGCATGTGCCACCATGCCCGGCTAATTTTTTCTATATATTTTTAGTTGGCCAATTAATTTCTTTCTATTTATAGTAGAGATGAGGTCTCACTCTTGTTCGGGTTGGTTTCAAACTCCTGACCTTGAGGGATCGACCCGCCTTGGCCTCCCAGAGTACTGGGATTACAGGCGTGAGCCACCACTCCTGGCCTGGATGAGCTATTTTTTTTTTTTTTAATTTTTTATTTTTTTTTTTTGAAGGCTAGAATGAGTGCCATGGCGTCAGCCTAGCTCACAGCAACCTCCGACTCCTAGGCTCAAGCAATCCTTCTGCCTCAGCCTCCTGAGTAGCTGGGACTACAGGCATGCGCCACCATGCCCGGCTAATTATTTCTATATATATTAGTTGGCCAATTAATTTCTTTCTATTTATAGTAGAGACAGGGTCTCGCTCTTGCTCAGGCTGGTCTCGAACTCCTGACCTCAAGCAATATGCCCACCTTGGCCTCCCAGAGTGCTAGGATTACAGGCATGAGCCACCGGGCCTGGCCCTGGATGAGCTCTTAGATCATTCAGTCCTGGGGTTATGAACTGACTGCCCACGGTGGGAAGACCCACAGATGCATTCTCGATGGCCATCAGTTTAAAAAAAAACTTTTAATGCCATTAGCGAATAGATAACTATTGAATCATTTTGTCAGACTCCATCTCTTCCTAATGCTTATGTTCTGCCCAACTGTCAGTTTATCTGCTTGACCCTTGTGAGCATCTGAACTATGAATAGAGCCCTGAACTAGTCCAACTTCCCTTGTTTTACAGATAAAGAAACGCTATAGCAAGAGTCCAGTGTATATGAGAAGAGATTATGGGGATTTTGATTTTGTTGTCTACCTGATCATTTTATTCCAGCACACTATCCCTTAATATAAATGTAAGAATTATTTCTGTTATACATTGCTATTGCTAAAAGTGTTTGTGGCTGTACTTCTTCAAAGTGAAAATGAGATTAATTGGGGAATAGGATTTGTTATATAAACAATTTACATACAAGTTTTCAGGGATACAGATAATACAGAAACTAAACATTTGGATTAGCCCCAATAGAAGCTGGTTAATTGTTTTTTCTTGGTCCCTTAAATATCAACGAGGTAAAAAGTGCATGTCTTGTTTTAATCCTATATTTGGAATATTTATATTAAAACATAGTTAATACTTTGGTCTTTTTCAGCACAATGTTAGAGGTGTTGTATCTATGGCTAATAATGGCCCAAACACCAATGGTTCTCAGTTCTTCATCACCTATGGCAAACAGCCACATTTGGACATGAAATACACAGTATTTGGAAAGTGAGTATTTTCGTTATGGTCTTCTTTGGCATTTCAATGCAAGGGGTACATATGCTTGGCTGTGATAGTACCATAACTACTATTGAAAAGAACAGTATGAGTGCAAGTGCTCCTAGAGTTTAAGTCCACCACTTACTAGCTCTGTGACTTTGGGAAAGTTGTAACCTCTCCGAGCCTCATTTTACTTAATTTGTAAAAGAGGAGCAAATAATTTTTTTCAGGGTTGTTATGCAAATCAACAGTACTGTGTATATTTTCATTAAGAATAGCATTTCACAGCATCTAACAACTGGAAAATAGTGGCATAAACAAGATGGACTGGCATGGTGGTTCTAGACCTCTGTCTTTCTTCACAGTTATCTTTATCTTCCATCCTCAAGCATGCTTCTGGTCATAATTTGGGCAGTGCAGCTCTACTCAAAATTCTGTATGCCACGCAGAAAGGAGGAGGAAAGACAAATAGTGCTTGCGAGCTGAGTCAGCCCCCTTTTAAAGAACTTTGCTGGAAGACCCAGAACTTAGTAAGGCCACCCCTTACCAAAAAGGGAGAATAGAAAATGTTTATCAGCTGGACATATTGCCACTCTCGATAAATTCAGATTTCTCTGAGTAAGAAAAAGGGAAGAGTGGATCCTAGGGAAGTGTTTAGCAGTCTCTGCTAGAATATCCATTGCAAGGGCTATACCTGGTTTATATAAATTTTATAAATCAGGGAGAAGTAAATTCATCTGTTAATTCAACAGATATTTACCATGCTTAAAAATAGACCAAGGCAGGCCGGGCGCTGTGGCTCACACCTGTAATCCTAGCTCTTGGGAGGCCGAGGCGGGCGGATTGCTCAAGGTCAGGAGTTCAAAAACCAGCCTGAGCAAGAGCGAGACCCCGTCTCTACTATAAATAGAAAGAAATTAATTGGCCAACTGATATATATATAAAAAAATATTAGCTGGGCATGGTGGCGCATGCCTGTAGTCCCAGCTACCCGGGAGGCTGAGGCAGAAGGATCACTCGAGCCCAGGAGTTTGAGGTTGCTGTGAGCTAGGCTGACGCCACGGCACTCACTCTAGCCTGGGCAACAAAGCGAGACTCTGTCTCAAAAAAAAAAAAAAAAAATAGACCAAGGCATAATTCTAGAGTTTGTTCTAATAGTTTGGATGCCAAGTTAGGTTAATAAGATGACTGTACAACTTTTTCATTCCATATATGTGTGTCTAATTTATACATTATTAATGTTCAATGAAACTAATGAACTATTACAGCATCTAGTAGTTTTTGTGCATATGTAAATAATTCAGTTTCACTTCCTTTTATTTTCTCCCATCATTCAACCAAGAGGCCCATGTCTCAGATAACTGACTAGACTCAACCTGCCTCTGTTCTACCTGTTCCAATCCCCCATTTGTTTTTCTTTTTTCCTGAGACCTGTGTTTCCTATGTCTTCTGTTTCTCTTACTGACTTAGAAGGGGGGAAAGCCCTTAAGATTTACAATTTAGAGGCTGGGCAAGGTGGCTCACATCTGTAATCCTAATCCTAGCACTCTAGGAGGCTGAGGCTGGCGGATTGCTTGACCTCAGGAGTTTGAGACCCGCCTGAACTAGAGCCAGACCCTTGTCTCTACTAAAAATAGAAAAAATTAGCTGGGCATGGTTGCACATGCCTGTAGTCCCATCCCAGCTACTCAGGAGGCTCACTTGAGCCCAGGAATTTGAGGTTGCAGTGAGCTATGATGATGGTACTGCACTCCAGCCTGGGCAACAGACTGAGACTCTGTTTCAAAAAAAAAAAAAAAAAATGTATAAAATTACCTTCAGGCAATGGATATAAGGTATACATAAAATATAAATGAATGTCATCTTTAGATTTGGGTCTCATCCCCAAGATATCTCATTATGTATATGCAAATATTCCAAAATCAGAAAAAAATCCAAAATCTGAAACACTGCTGGTCTCAAGTATTTCTGATAAGGGATATGTAACCTATATAAATCTTGGGAATTGATTTGAGTTACACTAGGAGGTATAATCTAAAAAGTCATTCTTTCTTAGCAAATGTTTTAGACTCAAATTTCCAGAACATGTATTTGAAGAATAGCTCTCAGTATTTTTTCTTGGTGTTAACATGAAGTGGACTTGCTGGAGGCTGAGTTAACTGTTAACTGAGTTAACAAGTCTCTTGTCCTACTGTTGTTATCATCACTTTTTATTGTCCAGAAGGAAAAGGTGGAAACACCATATTTAAATGATAAAGTATGTATCCACCTACTTTAGGATTTCCAGTGTAGGGCAATACTAATAATATTGTCATCCTACATACTTTCTCCAGGTATTTCCTATGGCAAAGAAATCCTTATGACTGGTATGAAATTGTGATATAATTAGCAATATATATTTGGTCTTCATTTTCGGTTACTTGCACAGGGCTCCTAAAACCGTTGGAATTTCCTAAGTGATAGGAGAGGAATATTTTATTATTCATAATTAGCCCCTTTCAACTATATTTGACTTTATTCTAATGAGGTGATTCTTGGTGGACCCCTAGACAGCTTCAGGATGGGAGCCAGCTGCCCAAGGAATCAGCCATGTAATTAGAGAATTGGACTTTTCAGCTATACTTTCCAATCCCCTATCCCTAACCTCTAGGAAGGAGAGGAGGAATGGAGATTGAGGCCATTCACTAATGGCCAGTGATTTAATCAATGGTGCCTCCTTGAAAACCTCAAACAGGGTTTGGAGAGCTGGGTTGGGGAGCACATGTAGGTGCAGAAGCTCTGTGCCCCTTTCCTGTACCATTTCCTATGCGGCTCTTCCATTTGGCTTTTCCTGAGTTGCGTCCTTTGTAATAAGCCATAATAATAAGTATAGTGCTTTTTTCCTGAGTTCTGTAAGCCATTTTAGCAAATTTTCAAACAGAGCCGGGGGGTATGGGAACCCCCAAGTCATATCTGGTTTGGCAGAAGTATAGATCACAACCTGGGACTTGGAACTGGCATCTGAAATGGGGAACATTTGTGGGACCAACTTGTGGGACCAACTTGTGGGGTCTTTGCTCACTCTGAGTAGCATTGGAATTAAATTGTAGGATATCCAGAGAATTGGAGATTTGGGAAAATCCACATATTTAGTATCAAGTTTTGTGAGAGTATAGAAAAACAATTCGTTTTCCCTTTAACTGGTTATATTAGCCCCATTTGTAGCTATTCTGTGACTGTATGAGTGAGGCAGAACATAATTTTAGGTACATTGATGGCAGTATTCCTACCCTTTGTATTGTTGACTAAGGGCATGAAAACAAATTTTTATTTCTGAATTTTGATCCATATGTATGGCAGAAAATCAAGTCAATATTTTGTACATTCAACTAGAGAATTCAAAGAACTATAAAACATGGTCCTTTTCTCTTAAGGAAAGTATAACTGCTATTGAAATGTGAATATTATATTTCAATCTGAGGAAATTTTCATGCATCGTATTGTTTCTTTTTCAGGGTAATAGATGGTCTGGAAACTCTAGATGAATTGGAGAAGTTGCCAGTAAATGAGAAGACATATCGACCTCTTAATGATGTGCACATTAAGGACATAACTATTCATGCCAATCCATTTGCTCAATAGCTATAATAGACCTAGACAAATACTTGGCAAACTATTTGCTGGAACACACCTATTGTGGTTTACCCAGTTTTAATTATGTCAGAGATTGCATCATCCTTCTGCTTGTTTACAGCCAAGCTCTTCTATGAAATGGTGGTATCAAGAAGAGCCCAACAGCTTTTACCCCCATTCTGAGAGCATGTTCTTTACACCAACTATTGTCCAATGTACTTTTTAAATTTTAATATAAAAAATACCTTTTGTTTAATTTTTGTTACATATAATCTTTCATTTTTAAATGCTAAGCCTCAGTTAAGTGCTGATATTTTTGAATACCCTAACTACATACTCTTACTATATCTAGTCCATACTCTGGAAGTATTATTTTCTATTAATTATTCACTATATGCAGTTAGAAAGAGGCGGGACAGTATAGAGAGATTATCTAGAAAGGCCAGCCAGTCCATTTGCTATTTTGTCTGGTCTTTAGATTTATAGTAAAGGCTCTAAGAAGTGCTACAATACAGTAAACATTCAACATTTCCCAACTGATTTGCTCATTGACATTTCTTAAAATCATGTCTTTTAAAATATTGAACAATAGAGCTCTACAGAAGATGCATTTGAAAAATGCAAGGAACTGTTTAAAGCACTAGTTGTGCAGTCCTGGTCTGTGTTTTAATCACAGCTGTGTCCCCTACTATGTGACTTTAGGCAAGGTTACCTCTCTTCAGTATTCTCACCCATAAATAATATTCCTTCATAAGACTATTGAGGATTAAATGAAATAATACATGTAAAGCTTCTGGCATGTAGTAAGCAAATGGAAACTGCTCTCCTAAATATTCATGTCCACCACAGGGCTCTCACCTACTCATGCCATTTATCAGGCTCTACCATTGATTTCATCAGGAATCTTATTCCACTCATTGCTTAGATCACTTTGATTAGATTTGGGTATTCCTAAAACTGGTGCCAAACATTTGTCTTGATATCAATCCTGGGTTTGTCTCATTTCTCCCATGGCTGATCTAATTAATGTGTTGATTCTTTCTTAACTACAGTTTAGGAGTTAGCTTGCAACTATCCTGTTACCATTTATACCTTCCACTAAACTGAAGTGCCAGTTCTACTAATAACTTCACCTTTAGTTTCATCTTTTTAATCATTTAGATCTCTAGAATTAGTATTAAAGCCTTTCTTTAGCTAGAGTTTGTTTGACCCTAAATATGTCATTGAATTTTTTTGTGGTCACTTTTAAGAGGCCTTTATTGATGATTGTTAGGATGTTTTGTCCTTATTGGCATTCCTACAGTTTTTATTCCAAACTCTGCCATTTTTAATTAGTGGTGCAATTGTGATTTTTTGGTTCTTAGAGCTTATCTTACAATGTCTGCTCAATTCCAGCCATAAAAATATCATAGATAGGGTGGCTGCCTACCTTGGGCTTAATGCAGGCACCATGAGGATCCAGGTCCAGAACATTGATTACTATTGGCTTATGTTGAGTTGACTGGTTCATACCAATCACGTTAGTGATTGGTTCTATGTAGTAACTGGCAGTAAGTACAACTGCAAAGAAGACTCAAATATTGCTCATTAGCCTATTTTTCTCTTCTTTAAAAACAAAGTAACATGGTTTGCCGTCTTACCCATGGTTGGCAAACTACAGCCCACAGGCTGGCCACCTATCTTTTATAAATAATGTCTTGGAACATAACTATACCCATTTGTTTACATATTGTCTATCTTGTCTCTGGCTGGTTTTGCTATAACAGCAATATTGATTACTAATAACAGAGACCAAATGGCCTACAAGCCTAAAATATTTTGAGTCTCAATTATCTATCATTCCACTCTATATATGTTCATGTGTACACTTTTATTTAGTACCCACTTATGAGTGAGAACATGTGATATTTGACTTTTTGTTTGGCTTGTTTCATTTAAAATAATGACCCCCAGTTCTATCCATGTTGCTGCAAAAGCCACGATTTCCTTCTTTTTTATGACTGAATAGTATTCCATTGCACATATATACCACATTTTCTTTATCCAGTCATCCATTGATGGACATGTAGGTTGAGAGAGAAATTCCATCATAGTAACTTGTGAAATATATCTATAGTTTAAATACATCTATAGTTGTTTGGGTATGTTTAGCAGCTCAAATGTTAAGTAAATTTGTGGAATCCCAATCTCTGGAAGTGAAAAGCTAATCACAGTGTGCTAGTCATTGTGCTAAGCACTGTACATTTATATTCTCACTTAATCCTAACTGCAAGTTAGGATTTCACTATTATTCCACTATTAAAGATAAAAGTTGCAGTAAACAACTTTGTGCAACGAGCTATTTAGTGTTTAAAATAATTTCTGTAGGAGAAATCACCACAGTAAAATTACAGGGTCAAAGACAATGGAACAGTTTGGATTATAGTTTGATTATATTATACTTTAAGCTCATCCACTCCCTTTGCTGTGAAACCACGATTATGTGGCAACCTCATATACTCTAAATCAAGTGTTACAATGTGTACTACTCAGGTGATGGGTACTCCAAAAGCCCAGGCTTCACCACTACACAATATACACATGTAACAATTCAACTTGTACCCTGTAAATGCATTAAAATTTAAAAAATAAATCTAGTATCGGCAAGCTTTTCCTGAATGGGCCAGCAAAATATTTCAGACTTGCAGGCCATTTGGTCCCTGTCACAACTAATCAATATTGTAATCAACATTGAAAAAAATCTTTCAACTTAAGTCAGATGTTGAAAAAAAATCTAAGTGGATATTGCCAAAATTGCCTTCCAAAATGGTTTTAAATTTAGCAAAAAGCTATTTACTAATTTGGGAAGTACCTAAAATTTCATTTACGAAATTATTTTAGCGCATATTATGGGCTGAGTTGGGGGGGGTGGCTATAGTACCCCCTCCCTCCATTCATTTAAGTCCTAATCTCCAGTACCTCATAAAGTGACTCTTTGGAGATAGAACCTTCACGGAGGTAATTAAGGTTAGATGAATTCATTAGAGTGGGCCCCAATCCAACATAACTGGTTTCAATATTAGAAGAGATTAGGACACCGACTGCAGAGAAAAGACCTTGTGAAGACGGAGAAGGTGCCCATTTACAAGCCAAGGGGAGAGGCCTTAAAAGAACCCTGCAGAAACCTTGATCTCAGACTCGTTTCATAAGGATATATTGCTTAAACGTGAAGAGTCGCCACTTCATACCCCCAGGCTCTTGCTAATTTCTTAACTTTTTAAAATCTTGGGGAAATCTTTCCAATCCAATTTCAGTGCATGTGAGCCCCAGCAACTAAAAACTAGGAGTTTTTTCGGTTTTTGTTTTAATTTCCCCATTGGTTTGGAGATAAAAAATAGTTTTAAATAGGTCTCCAACCAGTTACTACTTTAGAACTATTTGACACTAGTGGCGTAGTATTTTTGAAACATTATTTTAATTATCGCAATAAGGGCACGTGCTATTTTGTATTCTGTTTCCCTAACTTTTGTTTCTTCGTTCACAAATACAATTCTAAGTGAACGAGAAGGACCGCTTTTCCCCAGTAGGTGCGGTTCTTTCTCAAGATACAAACAGACTCGGACCAAAATGGCCGCGGTGGCTGCTTCGCTTTGGCTCCCAACGCGGCGCCTGCGCACATGCCAGTCACGCGCGCCCCGCCCCGCCCCGCCCCGCCCCGCCCCGCGGCGGAGACGCGCCTGCAGCGTCATCAGTGTTTTCGAAGCCAGTCTCGACGCTGCGGCTGTCAGCTCCATTTTGTTGCCGACGCTTCTCGCAGGCTGGTGGGCGCTTTCTGTGGTTGCGTTACGACTTTTGTCTCCTTTGGCTTGGAGTCTTCCGCCGGGACGGTAAGATGCAGGAGGGAGCATACTAGGTGTCAGGGCCCTTCCCGTGTGCCTCTCGGGCGCCTGGCAATGCCCCTTTCCTGCCTGTTTGGGGCCCGCAGTCTCCGCACGACGATAGCCTCCTTCCTGTCACTCCAAGGCTGCACAAAGGCGGCGCGCCCGTCCTCCCTGCTCTGCCGAGCGGGCTGTCAGCGTCTGCTTGCGGGGGACAGTCGTGGTGTTTGCTGGCAGCGGCGCCCAGGTCGAGTCCGCCTTCTGCGGAGGGAGTGGTGCGGCCTGAGCGGCGGCGGGCGAGCCCGGAGCGCCCGCGAGCGCCATGTTGTCGGCCGCGTAGCTGAGCTGTAAGATGGCGGCGGGGCGGAGGCCGGGCTGCGCCCTTGCCGGGAGTCGAAGCCGCTGGTGGGGGTGGCGTGTGTTTGCTTTCTGGAATGTGCGTCAGGCGCGCGGCTGCGGGGAAATGTCTGTAGCGAGGGGAGAAAAAGACAACACGTTGAAGGAAATACACTTAATGTCTGATTGGGTCTGAAAAGATTGAAGAGAACATCGTGAGTGGTGTTGACAAAAACCAGATTTAGGAATCTGGATTTAGGACCAGAAATAGAAATAACATATATTTGAAGGAGCGTTGTGAGAAATCAGGTGACCGGGCGTTTTCTGCACTGCAGTTTCTCAGCCCACTCCTTTTGGGATAACAGTTAGAGCGCTTGGATTCAGAGTTGTATGCAGAGATGTAGAGGGTCTGAGCTGTTAGAGGCAGTTGGTTAAAAGCCATTTTTTTGTGATGTCCTTTTCAAGTTGAGTATTTTTAGCTTTGTTCGAAGCATTTCTGAAAGGAAAACGGGTCCCCTACCGCCTAAGTGATTGTGTTAAGATTGAATTTAGGATAAATGCGGTTTGCTATATACTTAGTACGTGCTGGGGAGGACAGCATTTTGTCTTTTTTATATTCTACATTCTTTCAGTAAATATGGGCATGACATGGATAATGCAGAAATACCTATGAATAAAGTTCAAACTCCAGTAGTTGGATTTGTCAGTAATTGCAGATTGGGTGACAGTGATTTCTGAACTTAGACTAAAAAGAACAATTTAAAAGGTTACAAGTAGGGTGGATTTGTAAATAAGACCTTTATTAGTAAACAGCTGGGTGTGGGATACAATGTAACTGGGGAAAAAATTGTCTTTTGTATAGATGAGACACTCAAAGAGAACTTACTGCCCTGATTGGGATGAAAAGGATTGGGATTGTGGAAAATGGAGAAGGAGCAGCAGCAGTAATAATAAAAGGAGGAAGAGATCACATAGCAGTGCCCGGGAGAACAAGCGCTGCAAATACAATCACTCTAAAACATCTGATCGGTAAGGAGGGTACTTAAAATGTCTCCATATAAAGATACATTTTCACAATAGTATTACTTTAAAAATACTAAGTATTTAGTGGCTGATTACCATTCCTTTCTGTTTCCAATGAGAGATTTTGATAGCTTGTAATGTTTGTAAAATTGCAAACATTGCAATTAGGGCACAGAA